AGGAAGTTCCAGCTGAACCCGAGGAAGAACTTCTTCCCTCTGAGGGTGACGGAGCCCTGGCCCAGGCTGCCCAGGGAGGCTGTGGAGTCTCCTTCTCTGGAGATATTCCAGCCCTGCCTGGACAAGGTCCTGTGCAGCCTGCTGTAGGTGACCCTGCTTGGGCAGGAGGGTTGGACTAGATGACCCACAGAGGTCCCTTCCAACCCCTACCATTCTGTGATTCTGTGATTCTGTAATGAGACTTCTCAGATCTATAAAGTCAAGCCCATATGCAAGTCTTTTGGAACTGGGGCTTACACACCACCGTACCTTATCTGGAAGTCTGATCATCTTATGTAGCAGTCCATTCATAATGACTGAGCAATTAACTCCTCGGCAAAGGATTCCACTGGCTGGTAAATGTTGAAAAACAGGGCGTCTTGGTGATTTTCAAGATTGATAGAATAATTCTGAAGTTAAAGCTTGGTTTTGTAGCCTGCAAAAGTAGTTGTAGCGATACCTTCTAATGCTAGCAGTGGATGCAAGGGTAGTAGCACTGAACAAGGCACAGCTACGGTGTCGGCAAAGAAACTCCAATACATTTCAGTAAATGTTTCAGAAACCCAAACTTACCTCCTGAAAAACTAAACAAGAAGATGACTAATTCTGCCATTTTTTGCTCTCTGAACTAGGGGGGGGCAATACGTTGTTAAAGAGAGGAAATAATCACAGATTTGCTTCCAGCTCAAAGTCTTTTCACTTTTGCACCTTGCAGTGGTCTTAGCCAGACGGGCAAGGAAATGTGTCCGTTTCCAACACGTTCAAGGTGCTGCCATCTTCCTGTTTTGCTTCTCTTCTGATATTTTCGTGTCTTCTTTCAGGTCTGTTTGCAGTAGAAATGAGTTGTGTGTTGATTTAAGCTGCTCGAAAAGCTAACAAGGGCGGATATGTGACTCGAAGGGTGGGCAAGCTCTTGCCGCCTGTTTGGCTCCATTCTGCCAATTCAGCATGGCTGTCTCGCTGTTGTTTTCATAGTGCTGCTACACTCCTGTACAAGATAATTACCTTGTAAGCCTGGTTCTTCTGGCCAGTTGAGCCTCCGGCAGTCTGTCTCAATTCTCCATTCAGGAATACTTCCCCCCAAGCTGGCATTTGTAATTTTCAAGACGAAAGCTCCTTGGGACAGTGATTATCCCACTCTAGAAGTGTTGGTACGGCATGAGACATGGTGAGGCACAGATCCTGACTGGAGCTTCTGCAAACTGTTTACTTATTTAATATACTATTCATTAAAAATACATCTCCATGGTCTTTTTCCTTTGATCCTTCAGTACCTTCTGTGACTCTGTCACTGTGTGTGCATTAGAGCAACACGATTTTTTTTTTTCTTTCTTTCTTGATGATAAAGTTACTGAGGAATTGAGAACTCGGGGGTGATCCCGTTGAATCCATTTTGATTCCACATCCTAGTGTTAGGTGGTGCCATTTAATTGCTCCTCGCTCAAACCTCAACAGCCGACTCTGCAGCTCTCCAACAATTTTCTTTTCCAAACTGCACCGCTGCAGTGTAAATGTTAGACTCTCAAATGGGACCAGACAGATGGTTTTCTAAAGATCTCGATACATTACACCCTCCATATCGGTTGCTCACCTGATACGCATCTGTATTAAAGAAAGCTATTGCCTTTTTTAAAGCATAATATAATCTCCAGCAACCATGGTGCCTAATTGCTCATTAAGTTGTTCCCTTCTAGAACCTTCTGTTTTAAGTCACTTACTTTTATTTGTATTATTACCAGTAATAGTTCTCAGCAATGAACGTAGGCAACATGATGGTAATTTTATGGTTCTCCTGGCTGTGTGACCCCTCTGAATTAGCAGGAAGACGCAGGGTGAAGCCACTGTCTTGGAAATAAGCAGAGTGACATATGATGCCTCTGGCAGGTTTCTCTCCAGAGCTTGCTTTTTAAAATAAACACTTTCTCTCTTTTCCTGCAGCACTGCCTGTGAGTCTAGACCTTTTCCTTGCATTTTTAGCTACGTCTGCACAGGTGCATAGATAGACAGAGGCAGCGGGCTGAGCTGGGCTCTTGGGGTCAATGGTCCAGCACAAAGACGCGTAGCCAGGGACTGAAGGATCAGACTTTGCAGCTGTACAACACTGAGCATATCACGTGCAACTTCCTTTTCCTCCCTCATATGTGTGTGCTTGCCAGTCTTCAGGCACTTGAGTAAGAGTGGTTTAAGAGTGGTAAGCATTAGGGTTCTTACCCAGTTCTGCTGTAAGTGTTTGAATGCCTGTTAGCAAGGCATTTAATCTCATGCGTGCCTCGATTTCCCATTTGCCAATGAAAACTGTAATAGTTCCCTGCTTCACAGGGCTGGGGAAGATCATTTTTATCACGTTTGTGAAGTACTCCCTAAATAAGGAGATGAGCCCTATAAAGATTTAGAAATAAAGGAATTACAATAAAAGTGTTATGTGGGCCCAGAAGCATTGTCATTGTGGAAAAGTAAAAGTACTCTTAGATCTTTCGGTGTCTTCTTTTTACAGATGGGTTGGGGTGATTTGGGAGTTTTCGGAGAGCCTTCTAAGGAAACTCCTAACTTAGACCAGATGGCTTCCGAAGGGATGCTTTTCCTGGATTTTTATACTGCCAGCCCCCTCTGTTCTCCGTGTAAGTAAACTTGAGTTTTAAACTTGCATATAAGCATGCCACCTTCTGAGAAGATTGGGAGGTTTGCCAGCATCTGGCATGAACTAGCAACCAAACCAGTGATTACCCTCAGGGCAGAATTTGGATTTGGTGCTTTGATCCTGCATTTTGCTCCCTTTTTATTTACGTTTCGATAGGAAAACCTACAGTCTTCAGTTCATACAAAGCACTGTGTTAGTGATCCAGTCAGTCCAGCTAAAGGGTTTTTTACAACGTTACGGTTTCGTATTCTAGCCTCAGTCATTGCATTTTTTCATCTTTCTTATTTTGGGATAAACAGGCAAAGCAGTATCTAAATTGTTGCATATGTTAATATCTTTCACTATGTACATAGTTTGTACATAGTTTGTCTGATTCCATTGGCTTTGGTGAGACTTTTATGCAAGGAATGGCAGCAAGTTGTGTCCTGTTTTCTACCCTGGTGTCTTGCAAGGTACTTGGGGAAGGGACAAGAGATAAAAGAAACGTTTGGGTCTGGGAGACGCAGATATTTTTATCCTTATTGTTTTTTCTGCAGGGTGGTTTTTTTTTTTCTTTCTTGTTTTCTCAAACCTGATTGGCAGCCAAGAACTGAAACAAAAATGAGAAATGGGGGCTTTCTATTTGGGCTTTCATTTAGGATATCGTTTGGCAGGGTGCCGATGACGTCCTTGCTCAGACAAGGCATTTAAAATATGCTGAAGTCCTGCTAAGTCCAGTGGTGACACTGCGTATGCTTAAAGCTGAACATCTGTTTAAATGTTTCCTGCAGTCAGGACCTGACTTTCGTTGTCAAAACCGGACAGCTCTTTCTTCACTGTTGCACGACTTTTGTTGAGGCAAGCTTGAAAATTTAGCCTTAAGCATAGAATCAGTTTGTATTACAATTTCCTCTTACACGTATACATCAGGTATTCCTTTTAGAATTACTGAGATGGGAAGGCTGCTATACTGACTATTGAAAGTAATTACTCTTCAGCAGTGGGTAATTAAATAAAGGGGCCCGATTTCAGTCGGGCTTGTCTTGGTGTCCTATCAGAACCTGTCTATCTCCATGGCTCACTGGAGAGGGAAGCTGCTGCCTGTTCTAATGTGAGTGATCTTAGTAGCTGACTGTGGCAAAAGGACACTGACATGCTTCAGTCAGTGCATTGTGCTCAGCTTTAATATAATAAGATTAAGATTAAGCAGAGAACGCATGTAAAATAAAACGTTTTTTGTTACTTGCAGCGAGGGCAGCACTGTTGACAGGCCGTCTCCCAGTCAGGAATGGTTTTTACACCACGAATGCACATGGCAGAAACGGTATGGGCTTCGTTCCTCATTTCTTTTCCTCTCTTGATTTCCCTCTGTGCTTTATAGGAAGTTTTGCTTTGAACGAAGGCCTGGCTCGGTGATCTTCCCCTATGGATCTTCCAGAGTGGCACAAAAACATTGCCATGTTAACTGCTGGTAATAAGCGTGAAATTTATTGCTTCCTCCTCACCAAGCAGAAAATGTCCTCAAATTAAGAGACGTAAACGAGGCTGGTTGATCTGTTTGCTTCTGCTGGCTGAGAAGTGCTTCCTCTGGGCAGTCTAATTGGTGTCTGGTGAAAGAAGGTCACGTGGGGTGTATGTTAACACCCAGAGTAAAGAACAAACCGCTTACAGTTTTATTCAGCAGCCAGTTTTCTAACCAGTTCAGCCTTGGCAGTTTTGTAGCACCGTTGTGCCCGTGGTGCCTCCAGAGAAGATTACCCGTTTGTAATGTCCCTGGGTCGATTTTGGTTCCTGCAATTGGTTCCTGTGTGACAGAAGCCGCATGCTTGGACGTGCTTGGGCAAGAATCAGCAGCCCTGTACTGACTCACGCTGTGTATCATCAAGTGTGCTTGGCTATCTCCATCCTAACCAACGTCACACCTTAGAGTGTCAAGGGCCAGAGGACTGTGGACTGTATCATTGCTTTCAGCTCTTGCAGTCTGAGCAAGTTTATCAATCATTTTATTTAGGAAAAAAATGCCTTCATTTCAGAAAACATAAAGCAGATTTGCAACAGTAAAGGCAACTCCAATGCATACCTAAAGCACTTGCTTTCTTTAAGGCCCCTCCTTTCTAGGGTCTCGCCTTCGTTCTGTGATGGCAGCCCCCTTGATTACTGGCCATGGTGTGCGAGTGGGTGGAGATCTCCCTCTGATCTCTCTGAATCAATTTGTTCTCTTCATCTCGTGGCCTGGGAGGACTTCCAAGGGGTGACACGGCTGGGACTTCAAACTAATTGCTATTTCTGATCCAGTAACAGTGCTTCTAATAATGGGTGGCCTTAAGCTGTTTGCTCTAATATTTGTAAGAGTCGGAAAGATTTTGTTTGTTTTACACAGCATACACGCCACAGGATATAGTAGGAGGAATCCCAGATTCTGAATTACTGCTTCCAGAGTTGCTGAAGAAAGCTGGCTACATCAGTAAGATCATTGGCAAATGGTAAACTTATTTTAAGGTCTCTTGCTTTGAGATTTCAGTATGTGTGTGTATGTATTGTGAAGGAGCACCAGAACAACCAGAACTGCAGGGAAAAAATTGTTTTGAAGCTCAGATATCCAGCTTTTGAAATCTCTGGTGGATCTTCCCCCCTGCTGTGATCAGTTTCTGAACTGAGTGTTACCATTGCAAGTACATGCATATATCTTCACAGGAAGAGTTGTTGGGGGTTTTATGTGTGTGTGTATATATATATATATCTGTGGACCCTTCAACTCTTTGTGCTTTCAGGCACGTATCACACAATTTAATCAAAAAGCACCAAGATGTTCTGTTGGAACTTGCCTTCAGCACCTACGTGCTTTTAATCTTTGGCCTTTGCTATATGTTGTTTTTTTGTTAATAGTCTAAATTGTGAAAGCTTGTTTTTGCGGGGGTAGAAGTGTGCGGTATAGAAATAGAGATGCAGACATCTCCAGGGCTACATTGGAAATTGTTCATCAAATGTAGAAGGTCAGGGTAGAAGGGCATAGACTTGATCAGGGTGGTTGACACCAGGGGTTTTAGAAGACCTAGAGGGCTGATCCAGTACTCTGTGAGTATTGTCCTTCGACTTTATCGACTTTCGTGGAAGTACAGTATAATCTTCCTAGGGTATACAAAAGAACTTCTGAAAAACAATGTTTTGTGACAGCTGCAAAGAATTGGAAGGGAAAAGCCTGAAAGATATTCAGATCAAACAACCACAGTGGAATTACGAGTGTAGTAGTTGAAATTGGTGCTTTTGTAGCATGAGAATTTTAAATGCGCTTGTGGGCTGTAATGGAATCCCATGGGGCCCTGGGATCTCTGAGCAGTTGATTCAGTTTGGAACAGTGCTGTGATAAATAAATGCATAAATATCAACTTCAAAACTACACAGACACCAGAGCAGTAGTGCTTGGTTAACACAGTAATTGTTAATGAAGAGACTTCGGACAGGAGTAGTATCAGAGGGATACTGTTTGGGAAGGTAATGGGATACAATTTATTTAACTGTTTTGTTAACAAGTTAGAGAAGAGTGAGACTGAATTGTGGTTGGATTCACTGGTGCTGCTGAAATTGGAAAGAGAGCAAACTAACTTAAGACGGTGAATTATTTATTACCTCAAATCCAAACAGCAGAGTAGCCATGAAGAATCGGATCAGTGGGCTGAATGCAATAAGATGCAGTTCAGTGCTAATAAATGTAAATTCATACACCCAGGGAAAAGAAATAAACAACACAAATACAGATTGGTTCCAGGCAGTTATTTGGAAAACAGCAGATCTGGAAGGACCTGCAGCTGTTAGCAAGAAGCAGACTAAATATGAATGTGCAGTGCTCTGTCATTGTGCACCCAAGAGCTGTTACCCTGGACGGGACCAGGGAGTGATACTGTACAGCAGCAGTCTCCATCGTTAGTGCACACCACCTGCTTCCTAGAAAGGTGTAAAGAAATGCAAAGTGCAGTAGTTAAACTGGAGTCTCATCCTAGCTGTGCATAGAATTTTAGGGCTTTGAAAGATTTTTTTGTTTTGTTTTCCAGCAGCAGATTTTTATATCCTTTCAACATCCCTTTTAAAAACTTTTCAGGGTGTCCTGTGACAGTGAGTTCCACAGTTTAATTATGTGTTTGCAAATCAAGTATTTCCCGTGACCGTTTTAAATTTTGTTGCATTTCATTAAATAGCTCTCTATTTTTTATGTCACAAGAGGGAGAGGATAATCAGCATCTCAGTAATTATTTGATACCTTTTTCAGGTCTCTTCCTCTGTAAGTTCTCATAGGGCTTTTTTAGAATGAAATATTTTTTCCTGTCCCCTGCTGTAGAAACGGCCAGGAGTAGCTTTGTATTATCATGTATATAAATGAGGGAAGGGTAGAATCCTGCAGGTCAGACTTGCAGTTATGCCACTGAGATATCAGCATAGCTGGAATGATGATTATTTTCTGTTATAACTCATTTTGGAATAGCTCAGAATGGCACCATGGATCATTTTAGTTCAAGTAATGAATTTTATGCCCCGTATGTTCAGAAGGTGTGCAGAGGGTGATGGCACAAAATGAACAAGTTGCAGATGCAGGCTTGTGAGTGGAAGCTGGAATGGTTAAATAAACATTAAGCTACAAAGATGTCCTTCAGAGACTGGGAGAGGATGGGCGTTCTCTATCTTGAATATAGTATAAATGAAGGAAATGGAGAATTTGCAGTGTAGAAGTTGGAGATTAGAGAGGAGCTTCATCTTGAAGTGAAGGCTGGAGAATTGTCAAGCTGCGTAGTAGAATGGAGCTGTCCTCAGGAGTAGCTAAAGGTGTTTAATGTTCACATGTGCCCGTAAAGAACTCATTCTCATTTACATTCAGGTCTCTCTGTACCATTTTGGTGGAATATATCCTCCGTAAAGGGAATGCAGATATAATGGTACATTTCACAAGCTTCACCTTGTGTTTTTACAGCTTAGTGGTGTATAAGTGACTTGTCGTAGATCAGACTCCTGAAGTAAAACATTATGTGTGTCTTTGCAATGGCTTTGGGCAGTGTAGTCCATCAACACAGATACCAAGACAGCATGAGAGAAGACACCAGCAGAAGGAAATAATGGAAAACAAAGATTGGACAGTAGACTAAAATGGGATATATGTAAGCACTGGAGTGAGTCTGCATGGAAGCACTTGCAAAGAGTATGAGAATGATCAAGACGAAGCTCTGCAGTCATTTATTTGATTAAAATGCTTGAAGCTTTTCTTCTTACGCAAAGATTGTTTTCTTGCATGCCATTCTGATGAGATTATTATTTTCTTCTTTGCAGCAGAATTTTAACTTGTCCTTTTCTTTTGTTCCTAGGCATCTGGGTCACCGGCCCCAGTTCCACCCCCTGAAGCATGGGTTTGATGAATGGTTTGGATCCCCAAACTGCCATTTTGGACCTTTTGATAACAGAGCGCTCCCTAATATCCCTGTGTATAGGGACTGGGAAATGATTGGCAGGTAATTCAGCTACTTGCCTGGTAGTGTTTTTTTCTTTGCTTTGCCTGCTGACATTACAGTGCTGGAAGATAAGTGCTAGCGTAGCAAACCCATTTCAGTGAAAAGGGGTTGGCAAAAACAGCAGCTGCTTCAGAATCAGAGTTACAGACTCAGCTGGATGGGCAGCGATCTACAGGTACTTCACCCTGTGCAGAGGCCTGCTATAGCATGTCAAACATTGGGAATATCCTGCCTCATATAAAATCTGAGACGCTTACTACAGAGTGCCTTGAATATCCTGCAGTTCAGCCGTAAGCCAGTGCAGAAAAGGTTCTTGTGAAAGGTCATGAAACACATCAGCAGCCCTTCTGGGTCAGGCCCAAGGCTCATTTGATGCTTTATACGCTGCAATGACCACTGGTAGTGAATGCTTATAGGAAGGGTATAAGAAAGCAGATATGTGCAATGGTCCTTCTCTTGTATGGTTGTTCACCTTCAAAGACTGAAGGTTGTGTCCAGATCTTTAATAGCCACTGACTTCACCTCCGTGAACTAGTCTTGTCTCTTTTCTAAAGCCATTCGTATTTCTGGACTCTCCAGCATCCTGTGCCAGGATCTCATCTCTTGCTTTGCCCTCATGCTTTTGAACAAGACTTTCCCTCTAGTCTAGGGATGGCCAATATCCAGCTTTCAAGGTCTGGGTGGTGGTTTCCATTGGAGCGAAGACAGAATTAAGGGAGAGCCTTGTGGGAAAACGCACAAGGCAGGCAGAACGGGGAAGGTATGGATTAACCATCACGAGGGATGTGAGTTTCACATCTAGGAGAGGAAGCAAGGGGAGTCCTTCCTGGGGGAAGAAGAGGTTTTGAAGGCAATGCTGGCAGCAAAGTGTACTTACTCAAGCACTGTTGCCTGGGCAATGCCTGCTGCTTCTCAGTTGTGATTGTGGCACTCTGACTTTTCCAGTTAAGCTGAGACAATGCAGACCTACTTCTACGATATCGATGCCCCTCAGAGACTCGGCACAGTAGCTGACTACTAAACTTTATTTTGAACTTCTAAACTGCTTTTTCTAGGAATCCTGTCTTCCTCATCTCTACCTTACCGTCTAAATTTAAAGTTGAAGCTCATTAAATATGAAGCTAGATGTTTGATTCTGAGGATTAATAAAGGTCTGAGTACCAAGGCAAACATGCGCATCTCATGTGGACCATCTAGGGATGTGACTGCTCTAGAGTGCCTCCGTCCCAGAGATGTTTGCTTATCCTGTCGTGCCCTGGAGGCTTCCTGTGATGATTTCACTCCACTACTTCTCTTGGAAGCTGGTTCCATTCTGTACTGAAAGACCTCTTTATTCCTTCTCTTCCTGTTTGTAATAACTTTTTGTCTGTTTGCGTAACTACATTCTGTGCTCCAAGTCTGCAGTCTGTGCCATTCTTGTCCATTCACTTTTGGGCCTGGTATCATCTTATTTCGCTTGCTGTTATTCTCTGGAGGATTACCCCCCACCCTGCTTTGTTTAACTGGTGTCTAAAGATACTTCTAACATGATGTTTTCAAAGCAGCCCAAGTTCTGATTCCAGGATTGCTATCTTTCACTGAAAGTTGTTGTGTACTTCTGCAAATTTTACTCACCCGTGAAACATCTCTCTACTACTACTCTTGAAGGAGTAGTGGCATAAGATCTTAAAGCATACTACCCCTATTCTAATAGCTTAACAGTGAAAAGCTGGTGGCTCAGCTGTGTCCAAATCTTGCAGTCATTCATTCGGATCTAGGCATTTCACTGCTTTCTCCTATAAGAAAATTATGGTGACATTCTTTTTAGTAGCTGAAGAGAATCTCCTGAGTAGCATCAGTGACCTGCTTGTGTAAGCAATGGGAGCGAGAGGAAAGCCTGTTTATGTTGTGTATTCCTTAGGATTGATTATTTTTTTCTCTGATTCATTCTATCTTAAGATATTATGAAGATTTCAAAATTGATCTGAAGACGGGTGAAGCCAACTTGACTCAGATCTACCTGCAGGTACTGTATTTTTAAATGCTGGTTTCTAAACCACAGTGATTTTATGCTTCTTTTTTTGGAGAGATTTAGATGGCAGAGAATGATTCCATTAAATTCATTTTTATTGTTTACAGGAAGCTCTCGATTTTATTAGCAAGCAGCAGGCTAGCCAGCAGCCATTCTTTTTATACTGGGCAATTGATGCTACCCATGCTCCTGTTTATGCCTCCAAACATTTCCTGGGCACCAGTCAGAGAGGACTGTAAGTTTTGTTTTTGTAGGTGTTGATTTTGTTGGGTTCTTTTTTTCATTAATACCTTATGCTGCAGAAACAGAAAACCTAAGCAATGTTTATTATATCCAAGTATATAGATCGTTTCTCAAAAGTGTATGTCTGTGCTGAAATACATTAGTTAGCAAGGACTTTGTTTGGATTAATCTTAAATAATTTTGCTGTAATCTGAAATGAAGATCATGTGACTAAAATGGGGGAGAAGGGGGAGTCTAAGCTCCTTTGCCAGTTGTGTGAGTAATGAACTGCTGTATGTGGCACGGATGGTTTTTTGGGAGGCTTTTGTATGATTAGTGCCTGTTTTAAAAGCCTATAAATCAGACCAGCAAGTAGAAAAGCATGCATGAAAAACAGGAGGCAAAGAGTTCTGTAGATATTGCAAGCCTTGCTTCTGACAGTGCAATTTCGAGCCAGCATCCATAAGAAGAACTATGTTATTAGCTTCAAGTCTACGGCAGACTGGCTTTGCCTATATTTGAGAACTTTATAGCTAAGTTTATATCAGTTGCTGGTCTCTGCCCAAGAGTGGCTCACATCTGAACAAATTCTGACTCTTAATGCCCAAGAGAGGTTGCTCTCTGCAGGGGGGGGACACAGGTTGCAATGAGAGTGGAAAACTTTATTACAATACCTGATGTATAAGAGAAGTATTGCTGCAGCGCAGGTATAAATTACATCCACTGAAGGCATTGTGGCTGATTGCAAGGTGTTATGCTGTGTGACACTTTCCCTCTTTTGCTGCCTTTAATGTTTTGCATCTACTTTTGCCTTAGATATGGGGATGCTGTGCGAGAAATTGATGATAGCGTTGGAAAAATCCTAAAACATCTTCAGAATCTGGGTATCAGTGAGAACACTTTTGTGTTTTTCACCTCTGATAATGGGGCTGCTCTCATTTCAGCTCCCAAACAAGGTGAGTCTCGGATGAGCAAACCCAGGCTGGGGTTGTGAAATCACAGCTTAAATCCCTGTGTCTGAGGGAGAAAGAGACCCATGCCTGGGGTTATCCGTTATGCAGTTAGGAGAAACCTCAAAATGCAGAGCGCTGACGTTTAGAGTTAGCTTATGTTCATTACTTCTGGTCACTGTTGGAGGAGGTATCCTTCTCTAAATGGACTTTTGGCCTAACCCAGTGTGGCTGTTCACCTGTGTGCATTTCTGCTTTGTGCTCAACTGTCAGGGGGTGAATATTTTTTAATTTGTTTGGGACCACACACAATAACTTAGCAGGGTGTTTACTCTCCATCTGCCAAATGCATATTTGGCTTTCTGAGTAATTACAGAGAGTTCAGGAGTCCCTCCTTCTTCAGCTCCCATGCATTATAGCAAGAAGAAAAAGTATTTTTGTTACTTCACAATTTTTTTTTTTTGTTAAAATGATTGTTTTGCTCAAACAGAGTCGTTGCAAATTGATTTTATGACCCAGTCTCTGCTATTTGGAGGCAGGCTGTCTCATGGTTATCGGACCACAGAGCAGGTAGTATCCTGAGTTCTGATTTCAGCTGAGCCACTGTGTTTGACTGTGTGTGACCTGGAATCAGTCACAGGACCTCCCTGTTTGGTCCTCAGTAAGCTTAGCTAAAAGGCTGGGTTAAAACTCAGGCATTCCTGCAAAGCACTTGCTGTCGCTGAGAGTGAACATTCAGGGAATGCATGATAATTTTTCTCATTCTCATATCTGCATCTAATACTGCTCTGGTACTTTGAAAGGATTATGAAAAAAAAATTACTATTTCTGCCTAAAAGTGTCAGATTTCCTTTAGTTAGAAACAACAGTTAACATCCTTAAAGGGAAGGAAAATGTCAGCAAAGTATTTTCTGTTTGTTTGGGGTTTTTTTCTTTGTTTGGTTGATAGCAAGCTGTGTTTAACTGTCACTTTCTCCCTGTGCTGGAAAGACACTCCTAAAATTTCATCGTAAAGGGATTTTTAAAAAACAAACCAACCAAACAAAAAATCCCCAAAACAACTCTGGACGTTTTATTTGAAGGATTTATGCAGAAGTGAAAATTAATTTAAAACTAGCTGAAAGATTTCCTGGATGACAGTGTCCCTTTGAAATATGATATTGACATATTGTGTTTTATGGCTTCTTTTCCTTCTCTAGGAGGAAGCAATGGTCGTTTTCTTTGTGGCAAACAAACCACGTTTGAAGGTGGCATGAGAGAGCCAGCTATTGCCTGGTGGCCCGGACATATACCTGCAGGAGGGGTGAGTATCCGCTTTTAACAATTCTGATCAGTCTGAAGAGGACTGAAGTGAATGGAGTGATTCTTGCTGGGTTCGGTGGGCTTTGGATCAGACTTTTTAACATGCCCGATGTGTCAGTCCAGGCGCTTGTCTACTGCCCCTAGAGAACGATGCCATTCCTGTTCATTTTTGCAAATTCACATTTGGAGTGCCTACGATCAACGCTTCTGTGAGCACCGAGTGGTCTGGTCTTTTTGTCTTCCTGCTCTATTTAAACTCTTCGGTGTTTTGGACCACAGTATATTTAGTGGGTTACATGCTTGAATAAATTGGAATATAAAGACAGATTGCTGATGTGTGTCCCAGTCTAGAGCAGGAGTGTGTTGCCCACACACACTCTGTGCCCTGAAGTATCAAGTGATTTGACCTCGCAGCTCTCGCTTTGCTGTTTGATAAAAGTTCCACTTGGGGAGGTCTGGATACCAGACTATTGCTCTTTTCTGCCTGTACACAAATTCAGATATGATCACTTCAAAATAATCCTCCAGTGGCACTACCAGCCTCTCTTGTCCCACTTCTCATTAAAGAAAGACGCAATCAATTCTTCTGCAGGCAGGGTTCACAGTAAATGATACAGATTCCCTCGCCTTTGTGAGCATCTCTCATCCCTGAAGAAAGTGATACTTCATTAACTGGCCGCTGTGCTTAAGACTGCAAACTATTCATAAATCATTTTTCTAAGTTGCATTCCTTTTCAGTGGTTTAATTGAGTCAGGGTAATGATAAATTGTCATTTACATTTAGGAGGAAGCCAGCAGATAGCTTAGATCTGCAGCTGAGGGCAGAAGGGTAGTTTGGTTTCGTCATTGTTAAATAGTTCTCAAAACCTACTAAGGATGTTTTGTTTTTTTTTTTTTAATTTGAAATGAAAACAATCTTTTTGTTTAAATTTAAACATTTCCATAAAGCCTTTACAAGCCAAGTACAACAGCCTTGGGCTAGCATATGAGAACATGAAACTGAAGCTGACTGTTTTGTTTTCCATGTCCAAACTGAATAATGTGCTAAAAGTAAACATGCATTATAAATGGGGACAAGTAAATACCAAATTTTAAAATTCTTTCCATTGTAGCAACTCTGAGGATAATTAAGAACATGAGTAGAGAAATCATTGGGCCTGCTTATTTTCTAACTGTAGCTGGCTGGTACCCCTCTCACAGGTAATCCTTTGCATGTAGTGCAGCAGTGAAGCTTTATGTGGTGCAAAAACGTTCTTAGTAGCCTGGTGTGATGCATGGCTTCCTGCCTGAGGCCGCAGCCGAAGCTGCCGTCTGAATTCCTGTGAACAGTCATTTCTGATTGCATAGGTGGGTGGACTGACCGCCGCCGTGCTGGCATGAGCCCGTGCACGCTCAGCGAGCTGGAGAGTGTGCTTAAGGCTTATCGGGCAGGTACGTGCCCGAAAATCCCCTCCTCCACGACTGCTGATATCATCCTTGGCACTTAAGCACGTGCTTAGCTTTAAATCCTTCCTATCCTGGGACTGAATTCACGATGCTGCCTGCCAAACGTCTGCACGTGCAGGTGTTACGCTGCCAGGTGCCCTCCTGGACTCCACTCGGGTACCAAACTCTGTCCCCAGGATGTGCTGCTTTGCTCGGAGTTAGACCCCCATAGGATGCTACTGATAAGTAAACGTGTGATAGCTGCTTATACGTCTTTTCTGCTTGTGTTCTTGCCACCGAGGCTCCGGCACTGGTACCCACAGCAGCACTGACCGCAGGTGAGAGGTTTGGCGTTGCTTCTGTCTAATGCAGCTCACACTACGTTGGCCTGTAGGGCACCTGTAGTCATTGCTTCATAATTGCCTCTTTCACTGGCATAGTAAGGGAACAGACATGTGTTTGCTAGTAACATTTGTGGCTTATTTTCTGTATCTTACAGAGTCTGTACCTTCACAGAATCACAGAATCACAGGATAGTAGGGGTTGGAAGGGACCTCTGTGGGTCATCTAGTCCAACCCCCCCGCCCAAGCAGGGTCACCTACAGCAGGCTGCACAGGACCTTGTCCAGGCGGGTCTTGAATATCTCCAGAGAAGGAGACTCCACAACCTCCCTGGGCAGCCTGTTCCAGTGCTCCGTCACCCTCAGAGGGAAGAAGTTCTTCCTCATGTTCAGACGGAACTTCCTGTGCTTCAGTTTGTGCCCATTGCCCCTTGTCCTGTCGCTGGGCACCACTGAAAAGAGCTTGGCCTCATCCTCCTGACACCCACCCTTCAGATATTTGTAGGCATTTATAAGGTCCCCTCGCAGCCTTCTCTTCTTCAGGCTGAACAAGCCCAGTTCCCTCAACCTCTCCTCTTAGTGGAGATGCTCCAGTCCCCTCACCATCCTTGTAGCCCTCCGCTGGACTCTCTCCAGTAGCTCTTCATCCTTCTTGAACTGGGGAGCCCAGAACTGGACACAGTACTCCAGATGAGGCCTCACCAGGGCAGTGTAGAGGGGAAGGAGAACCTCCCTTGTCCTGCTGGCCACACTTCAACACCTTCTTGGCTGCACGTTTAAACTAGTCAGCCTAAGTCCTGTGTACTCCAGGAATCTGTAAAATGTGGGGGAAACTGCTCCAAAGTCTCTCGTTGCTCTTTCTTTTCAAAAGAGTTGAAGCAAACAAAGGCTTGGGAACCCTGAACCAGGGTGAAAGCAGAAAGCTCCTCAGGAGTGCCAAGCGCAAAGCTGAAGGGTCAGCTCCTCCTTCCCGCGCTGGGGTTGCTCCCAGCGCAGTGGTTGCTCCTTTCCAGCCGTGGACGTTTTGAGGAGCAGGCGGAGGGGCCAACGACCGTTTCAGTTGGCACAACCGCAGCCAGAAAAAGAGAACTTGTGTCCCTGGCCAGTGAGATCCAGTTATTGGGTGGAAGGCTCATCCCGCTGATGGGCTCTGGCAGTTTATTAATATCTTATTGATACACAGGATTGGGTTTTTTTTTTGTTTCTGTTAAAGGGTACATTTGTTTGCTTACATAAAGGAGTACCTTTTTATTTAAACGAAGTTAGGTGACAGGATTGTGAACAGGGCATTGGTGGAGGTTGGGATAATTGGTGCAGTTGGCTGATTTGCAGTTTTTCTGGGGGAGAGGGATGCCTCGGGAGCGCGTGTTGCTCTTGGCATCAACATTCAGTTATTCTGGTCCCCCATCAGGAATATTTATTCACACACAAACAGCCTTTCTGCAGTTTCCTCCTCAGCTATGTTTTCCAGGTGAATTCACAACAAATCAGCATTTCAACATTCCCCACATCACATCTGCCTTCTGGAAGGATCCAGCTGGTAAAAAAAAAAAAAAAAAAAACCTTAATTTCTTTTGGTTTTTAAATCCCCCCTCCCTCACCCTCCTCCCCTTCCTCTCCCGTGCCTGCTTCCTGAAGGAGAAAAGAACATATCAACCCAAAGACAGCATTGCAACCTTTTCTTCACTATCTCCCATGGGGCGTAAATTGAAATTGAATTAGACAGGGATATCAGGTCTGCTCGCTGTGATAACTGTAAAAGGATTTTATTTAAAAACACCCTGACATTTGTTCACCCAGTTTCAAATATTTAGCTTTCCTCCTTTCCATTCCTGGCAGGGGCGACTTTATTAATTGTCGCCTTTGATTCAGAGTTAAAGCTTGAAAGCACTGATAACAGCAGTGGTGACTATTTCTTCTAGCAACGTGGCCCACAGCAAAAGGATTTCATTTTCTTAAAGACGTTATGTGTATACTGAGAGTTTATTAAAAAGAAGGGGGGAAGGGAGGGGGGAAAAATCCTTTGTTACGTGCGTAATACCGGCTGTTTCTCACTGATACGAGCAGTATCTGATCTCACTCTTTTTTTATATATTATTTATTTTCTCTGGGCTGTTGCCCTCTCTGGGTTTTTCTTTTTCTTTTCTTAAAAAAAAAAAAGAAGTAAATGGGAATGGCAACTGGAATGAAAGAGCACTGTTGACAGGAGAAAATGGTAATTTTTTATTTTCCTCTGAAAATACTTCAAAGTTTTATATAAATATTAACCTTTTTTTTTTTCCCCTTCTTCAATGTGGTGCTGCAGAGCACAGATAAATCCAAGTGGCTGTGGCATGGGCATTTAATTTCCTTAAGAAGTTTTCTCTGCTTCACGGAAAAATGTTGTCTGAGACCAGAAGCGTAATGGGATGATTAAAGAGAGTCATCTACATCTGGTTATGGTTAATAAGGGCCAGTACAAGAAGACTGCGGTGGCCCCACAGGATTGTCACAAGGCGATGTATAAATTAGGTGATATTAGAGGCACGAGTCTCGGGTCAGCCTCTTGCTGCCTGTTATCAAAAGATTGAGGCAAGGGAATGGAGCGACAACAAGAAAAGTGACTTTTGGATCTGCGTTATAAATTGTGAGAGACCTAATTACAAAAAGTCTCAGGCACCAGTTTGCCCGCCTGCTCCTGACGTAGCAGTTGTCAGGGAGCAGGCGTGTGCCAGATCTCCTCTTTATTAGACTCTCAGCTCTGCATATGGTGTTCTGCTGACCCTGCAGCTCTCCGAAGGCATGCTCGGGGTAAATTAGCCGGCAGATGAGCCTGCGAGGGACTGAGCATCTTTGCAGAGATGCTGAGCGCTCGTAATCCCATTTGACTTCAGAGGGAGTGCAGCGTTCCCAGCACCCGTGGCTCATGAGGCTGTCCAGCTCTGTGAAGAGTGATGGTTTGGTTTTGGGGGGTTTTTTTGAACCTATGTGTACTGTGGTTTTTTTAATGTCAGTCTTTTTGGCATGCATGTCTGAGACCGGAGAGGAGCCTGTGCAAGGGGACAGTCCAAGGAGCATGCAGCTCTGTCCCACGGTTAATCCCGTGGGCGACACAGCCGGCTTTGGTTCTCCCCAGTGGTCCACGTTTGCCAAATGGGCCCGGGGAGAGCAAGAAGCAGGGTTACCCCCTGAGAAGGCTCCGTTCTGTCTCCTGCTCCCCATCTGTGTATGAAAGATCCCCATCCTTTTCTCCATGCAGAGAGGGAACTCCATGCGTACATCTGCTTTTTGTGAGGGCTTTGTGGGCTCGTCTCTATTTATCACTGCTTCCAAGAACAGGCTGAGCACGACCTCTTTCAGGCTGCCTGCTGCAGCAAGGTCCATGAAGAAGGCTTAACCTCAAGTGCCCGAGACCTTCTGCAAGACCTGCTGGTCTTGGTCAACTGATCCAGCTGCTTTCCTGGGCAAGGGTTTCCGTGGTCAGGCTTCCCCTTGTGCTGAGAGCTTTGCGCTTTGATTTCTTCTTAAGAGTTGTGGAAGTATTGTGGCATGCAGCTTTAATATTATGTGTTCCTGCCAACACCTTTTGATGAATGAAAGCCATTAAAATTTGAAATTACTGTAATCAAGTAACGTGGTATTGTAGTGTTAAACTTGTAATCAGCCCCCTGCATGTTGCTTTCTCCAGTTTCTTTTTTTTTTTTTTAAACTTGTTATTTCTGCTTTTAACTGTTCACTTTTTTCAGCCCGGTCTCTTAATAAAAGCCTTAGTATCCCGGCAAAAATAGCATTTTTCCTTCAGTTTTTTTTTTTTTCTAGAGCCAGCATCTCACGAAAAATCATTTGTCATGTTATATGTTGTGGTATTTAAATAATTAGCGACAGCTTGCTGGCTGGGGTCTGTTTGTGCGTAGAAAGAGGATTCAGAGATAAAATGTCTTTGATAGTCCCAGCATCGTAATGTTCGCACTGACGTTCGCAAGGCTGCTGCTAGGACTTGGATTTCAGTCAGAAAGTGCTTCTGTACTTACAGATGTGGGCTTGTGTCAGATGGCTTCTTATCTCCAAACAAGTGGTGTGGCTGAAAAGGCTCTTTTCACGTCGTGTCTCGTGCTGGTGCATCCTGGTGCAGAACAGTCTGGCTTTTGATTTGAATGTATCTGCTTCGGTTTAGCGTGTCGCAGGCTAATTAAACATCCTGCAGCAGATAGCTGTAGCATACGACAAGCAGGGTGGGAGCAAAGATTCAGAAAGAATCAGTCAGAACAGACTTTTTTAGATTTTTAAAATATGGATAATTAAGACCAGAGAGATAAGTATGGCGTCCAATTAAGGAAGAAAAAAAAAAAAGGCAAGGGAGGGGGGAAAAAAAAGCTTGCGCATCTCCATTGGAGCCAAAACCAGATGTTTTTCTCCCTTATTAAAATATATACTAAAAATACCACAACTTTACAGTTCTTGAATTGTTGGAAATGGTTTGCAGATGAAGTCATCGAGTTCTTTTTGTTATTATCCATCTATCCCTGTGCTTTCTGGGAAGTCTGTCAGCGTATTCTGGACTCCAGTGATGACCTAGAGAGAGAACAAATCAAGGACTTTTTATTTTCTTGGTTTAAGTGCTGATTTTTCAATCCACAAATGACTTGGAATTTGCTAAATTAAGTTCAATTCTGTGAAAACACTCTCCTGTAAAGTGAATGCATAGAGAGAAGGGAGAAGAAAGAGAGGAAGAAGAAAAAATGAACCAAAATGCAAATGCGCCCTGGAAGTGGAGAAATACGGATCATGTCCTTTCCTTTATTATTTTAGTAGGAGGTTTGCTGGTGACTGCAGCCTTGTGAAGGGAGATATTCTCAAAAGCTGCTTAGCTGAGAAGGAGGTTCAGAAAGCAATACTGCTGCTTTGGTGGAAACCAGCCTCTTTTGTTTGGGCTTATACCGAAAGCAACATTTTTGCAAATGCCTTTCTGTTGATTTTTCAGGTCAGTCATCAGCTGGGCAACGTGATGGATCTCTTCACCACCAGCCTCTCCCTGGCGGGACTGCAGCCTCCCAGTGACAGACACATTGACGGCATCGACCTTTTACCTGCCATCTTGCAGGGCAAGCTAATTGACAGGTTAGTTATGAGCCCAGAGCTCCGATTTTTGCCTCCGAATGGAAGTGATGCCAAATTTTGGTTTATTTTTTAAATCAAGTTTACAGAAATACTTTATAAACTGAGTTGATGTGTCTTTGCTCCTGCTCACTGAAGTGGGGTAGCACCAGAGCTTTACGCTGTGTGCTAACTCTCTGGTGGTGCAAGCAGGGGTGGGATTTCCTGACATACAGCGGAGTCTGGGGACAGATGAAAATGTCAGCGGGTTAGCAGGGATCCCTGGAACAACATATGGCAATAGGGGAGATGAAAGCCTGAGAACTGTAGCCTGGGTAGGGGAGAATACATTATTTATTACTGGAAAAACATCTGAGAGTATGCTGGGTCTTTATCGCCCCTGCTTGAGAGACATTGGAGGTAAAGGCTGGGCGGCTGCGATGATGTGGAAGCTCACCTCCTCCCAAGGTCCTCTTTCTCTGGATGCTGTTGCAAGAATAGATTTGGGTTAAAGACCTAGGATCTTTACAGGCATGGCGGGGTGCTGTCAGCTGTCGGGCACAGGCACTGAGATCTGACAGCAGATACCCTTGGCTCTCTCGTTGGAAGGGTTGCAGGTCAAGAGAGGTCTTGTAGTTATGATTTTGATGAGGAATTTGGTAGCCTGGGAAATCCAAATACAAACATATTCTTTGTGAGGTAGTGAGGAAATATATGCATGGAAAACATATTTGAGTTCTTTTCTGTGTTGGATGTGAGCCTTTGTTCTGTAAAAATGCTTTTGTGCCTGTTAAGCAGAAGCATTGCATACAGTATTACCTGAGAGCTCAGCCAGTGGCTGACGTGAGGCGTTGCAGGTTCCTCAAGCACAGCCTATCCCACCTTTACTGCTGAAAGTTTTTAAGGCTTCTTTGTTATTTTAAAAGAGAATGTCATTGCAGTCACCAACCCCTTGGAACTGGTGCTGTTTGTGTTACAATAGCAGTCACTCAAGGCACATCCATGGCTTTTTCCCTTCTTTTTTTTTCCCTTCTTTTTTTTTCCCTTCTTTTTTTTTCCCTTCTTTTTTTTTCCCTTCTTTTTTTCCCCCTACCCTTCTTTTTTTTCACCCCCCTTTCTTACCACCCCCACCCAAACCTGACCAGGTCACAGTTCCCACAGCCTCCAAAAATTTTCCAGGGGATGCAGTTGTTAAAAAGGAAAAAGTGAACAGGGAAGAAAGAAATCAGTAATAGCAGAATTGTGAGTACAAGCTGTAATGCTCTTTCAAAGATGGAAAATACTTTTTTTTAAAAGTGAAAGACTAACCCCCACACCTTCAATCAAAGGGACGCACAATAGCTTGTCACGTAGTGAGCCTTATGGCAAGGAAAAAGGAGACTGGCTTATTTTGTGGTATGTTTGTTTGGGCTTTTTATTTAGTTAATGGGGCTGGCGTAGATCAGGTTCTGCATTTTGGCAGATCTCTCGAGCTGCCTTTATTTCACCAGCGTTTCAGGTGCGTAAGGATGCAGGAGCAGGCACTGCTGGCAGCATTGTTCACGGGCAGCGCCTGGTGACAAACGAGAAAAGCTCATTTTTTTTTGTGCAAGGAACCCGGAGGGGAGGCTACAATTTTAAAGTAGAAGAGATCTAAGGCCACTCCTGACATTCAGATGTGGAGATTTTAATCTTATCTTGCATTTAAGGACCGTTTATTCAAGGTGGCATCACCAGAGTGAGTAGGTTTTGCCAAGTGGCATCTCTGAATGAAAGGCAGAGATGTGTGTACCCTACCGATAGTGATAAACGGCTTCACGATCCTGCCCCGTCAGCAGCCTGAAACAACTGGAGAGAGCTGACTATGTCTGATGTCCCTGTCCGATGAAGCCACACCAACAAATCAAACCTCTCTCCTGCAGTCATTTTTTATACTGTTCCCTCAAAAAACAAGAGCACGTTATTGGGGAAACCGACTGGAACGTTGCTGGGATGCCCAGCGTGTACATGTGTGCAGACCAAATGCTCTGAGTAAAGTGCATTTCTGAAATGTATATTTAATTAGGAGGAAAACCTCTGGGAAAAAATTGCAGTTTTCAGTGGTATGTTTAGATGATGCAAAGGGAGGTTTTGGGAAAAAAAAAAAATGGACGGGAGTTAAAAATAAAGCATGTCTGGCTGCCAAGTTTTTCCATATGGAGTTTTTCTGAGATGGCGTCCAGAACAGGCTAGCATCTGGTGTCCTCCCCGGCCACCCTGTCCATGTGACACCAACGGCACGCAGCTTGGTGCTGCCGTAAAGAGGAGACTGAGCGTCACGGAGTCTGTGAATCCCCGTTTCTCTCACGCATACACACGCGCGCCATTTCTGAGACATTTGGTGTTTAAATCCGCACGCTCTGTAGGAAATAACAGGGTCTGATAGTTCAAGGATTAACAATCACTGGCAGCCAAGCTGTATAATGTTTCATTCTTGCGCGGTGTGAGCTCTCAACTTGATGAACACTTTAAAAAATGTTAATTGAAAAGCTGGCGGTGGAGACTCTTAGGAGGCAGCCTGTTTCTGCCTGATAGCCGAATCGGAAGCCAGACGCCATTACAGTGTTTGTCTCCCTTATCAGCCAGGCTGCTGCCGTGGTGGCTGCCCGGCTTGGCGTGTTGGTGGTTCTCATCCAGCTCTGCTCTCCTTCTCAGGCCCATATTCTATTATCGTGGCAACGAGATGATGGCGGTGAGAGTTGGGCTTTACAAGGCTCACTACTGGACCTGGAGCAACTCCTGGGAGGAGTACAGCAAGGTAACAGCTCACCGACCTGCACCCTGGTCTTGTTGGCTCTCCTGAGGAAAAATAAACCTTTAAAGCAGGGTTTTAAACTGAGCAATGTCGCTGTGCACTTGCAAGCCAGCCTTTTATTCACAGTCTCTTAAGAGCTGCCAGATCTGCTGCAGAATCTAAGGGGACTGGTGTCACAGCACCCCTCTGCTGAAGTCAGAGACAAGCAGAGCAAAGGAGCCAGGCCCGACTTGTTTGGGGGGGTGCTCACTTTAATCAGCACTTAACACCCATTAATATTACGCTTCTTTCCCTGCTGAGTTCTGAGCTTTCGAGTGTACCCTTCCAAAGTTCGGAGTCGGCTGCCGAACTGATCATGTCTCTCACAATTTCCAGTACAGAAGACCTGGTGCCCTGAACTATTTCAATGGAATAGGGATGAGTTGGTTGGTTTGGGTTTTTTCCTTGAAAGGAAAAAGGAAAGCCGTAGGAACCACACAGTGGAAAGAACAGCAGTTTTTGAAAACAGCAGAGTACATGTGTTTAATCTATTATCAGCACTTTTGTGAGCCCGTATCATACTATGAGATGTTTTACATTTTATTTGCCAAATAGGCACAGCTTTTGTAATTTCCTGGCTGATCTTCTCGCAACTGGATGTTAAGCACTATTATTTTTCTTCTTTTGTATCTTCCTTGCCTCAGACTTGGGTACTAAACTCTGGGGCATTTCTTGAATGGCAGGTTCACACATGTGCCTTGCTGATTATACCTTTAGACATGAACTAAATTCGTTATGGCACAGCTCTCAGCGATTTTGACAGCAGGCGGGTAGTGGGGAGGGATTGTTTGTATGATTTTTTTTTTAGTGTCTTTTTGTTTTTTTACCTTATGATGGGTCCTCAAGGCATCACAGGTGCAGAAGTAAGTGCTGATGACATTTGTGGATGTAAAAGTGCATGGTTTCTTTCATTGGGATGTCCTGGGGGTAGAAGGAAACATCAGCTCCAGGGGAGCCATTTACATTCAGGGCTGTAAATATGTGTGTTTGTGAGACTGTAATGCTCCAGGAGTCAAGGTTTCTGTTTTACACGGAATAAGAAGGAAAGGAAAGTTGGCTCCAAAAATGCATTGCACGCGCTGTCTCGATGCTAATTCTACACAGCTAAAATGAGATCATGTATTTGTCTGGGTTAGTATGCGAGTAAGACCCGTGTATCACACGTGGCACAGTGTGGAGGGCTTTCCCTGTGTGAGAGGCACCGGGAGGCCGTGTGGACGCGTGTACGGGTATGCGGATGGGCTCGGAGGCGTGCTGTCCCGTGTGCGTGGAGGAGAATGTCACACGTGAATAATCGCTCTCCATTGCACGTACATACGCATACGTACCTAGTTGGGGAAGAAATAAATGTCTGTATTGATCTAAACGTATTTGTACGTCTGAGTATGTAATGGGGACCAGTTACTCATTTCAGAGACTCTCCTACTGAGAGCAATGGCAGTTGTGCAATTAAGGAATATTTATTTCTTTCTAAGTCTTTGTTTAAATCCTGTCTGATAAAAGTCAGCAATTATACTGTACATCAGAGAGATGATTAAAAATTCACTTGCTTTCCTGCAGCTTGTATCACATGTGGTTGATGTGGGTAAAATTGGAGCACATTAGTGGACAGACTAGCCATTAACAACATGCAGAGGAAGCTGAGGCTGAAATTTGTTCCAATTCTCCTCATGTCCTCAAGCCATCAATTACAAGCCTTGCAAGTTTAAAAATAGAAATAAATCAGAATGCAGAACAGTTCCACAATTCTGAGTGCTGTTTTAGGAGTTTTGTAATCTCACCTTACGATACAGTTGCCTCTTTCAGTGACTGGTGGTCTCAGCTGTATTGACATTGGACTACGGTTTTGCTGCCAGAATCAAAAAGGCCGATTTGTTTGGTAATTTCATTTGAAAAACATATTTAAATGCGTGTACATGTGTGGCATTAGGAATTCTGCCTGTCAGCAGGTTTGCTGGTTGGAAAGTTTGATTTGCCCTCCCAGTAGAACTTCAGCTAATGAGGCCTTGTTAATTGTATGATCTTTAGCGTAGGTCCTTAAATTATTGTGAATTCAACGTGAAGATTTATTAAACTTTCAAGTATGAAATGCTCTACGTCCGAAGGTCCAAATTCAGACGTGGAATAAACAAATGACTGTGGTTGGCACATCATGCATTTGAAAGAGATCTGAGATTGGCCAGATGTGTCAAAACAGCTGTCTGCAGATTTTGAAGAGGTTTATTTTATGGGCAGTTGAGAATCTCATTGTATTGACAGATACATGGCACGTTTTAGCCAAACCTCCTTTCACTTTCAAAATTACCTGGTTAATTGACAGCGTGGGAAATCATTGACACAGAAAACTTACACTGTTTTTAATCCACACTGTGCATTTTTGTTTGTCTTTTAGATGAGATTATACCATTAAAGTGGCCAGAACCGCATTTTGATGTTGATATTGGAAAATGTGAAGTTGGTGCCTGTCCTGGGTCTGTTTAGGACTCCGAGGTCTTTCAGGATTAACTAGAAAGAACATGTGCAATTTTGGCCTCTAACCTGGAAAGCTATGTGTTTGAATGTGGTATAAGTAATAAAGTATGTATATACAAATAAAAATGTACCAGAGAGAAGCAGCTTACAGAAAGCAAAGCCTAGGGAAGCATAACAGGGATATGAATGCTTCTGTTTACGCTGGAAAGATCCCATGCAAGCAGTACACAGGTTTACAGTCATCTTAGACTCCCATGACATTAACATGCCCTTGCTGGTCTGCATCCTCTGCCTTATGGCCTGGGATTAAAATTTGTCATCTGTCGCAAAGATGAAGTGTGCTGTTCTGTTCTTCCTGTTTTTTGTTTGTTTATTTTTTAACCCCCGAGCAAGATTTTTCTAGTCTGACTCCTGTCATCAAGTCTTGTAGTCTTTCTCCGTGCTGGAGGATGCCTTGATGCCGTCTTTTCTGCTGGCTTAACTCAGTTACTTGGGTAACTTGCATTCTTGACTGGTTAGTCTCTTGAAAACATGAAGGGAAGGCTCACTCACCAGAAGCAAGTGGGAGGAAGCACTCTGTGGGACATTTTTCCTGTCGATTGCATAGGGTGCGTATTTGGGTCTGTTTACCTGGCTTCCATCTCCCTTTCATATAGCTGGCTCATGTTTACGTAGTTTGACATCTCTGACGTCCAAGAGGTGATAAATGGGACAGAATTAGATGAAGGGAAACTTTACTTGAAAAATGCTTTTGTATTTTTAAATAGTAAAAGATTTTTAAATAGTTTGGTACAGGGAGAGAAATCTTCCCCGTGCACAAGGGCTGAGTCCCTGTTGCTGTAGGGTGGTGGATATCAGCGCATCACCTTTTCCACCATCATTGACCACCTTCCTGTAGCAAAAATCAGCAGTGCTATAAATAGCCACGTGTTGTGTGTTGGAGTAGAAGTAAGAACTAAGGATAAACCTGAGGAGATCCCTCTCTTGTATGGCGTTAACAAACAGGAATTTTCCTGGACGCCACCTTCTTGTTGCTCTTATCATCCATCCTTTTAGCCTGTACGTCATGCTTGCTCATTACCAAATTTGACCTGGATTGCAAAGTGCATGACAAATATTGCATGCAAACCTGGCATTTCTGCCTTACTGCTGCTGGTGCCCACAGCCGTGGTGCTGGGTGCACAGCTTCCACTCCTAAAATACGAATGCTCAGTGCCAGCACTGTTATGAGTTGTTTTGTCCACTGGATTGAAAAGAGAGGTACATTGCACCTTCCTTTTTTGGAAGGAGAGATCTAAAAGGGGGAAAACAATGGGTTTTCTCTACGGTTTTATCTGAGTAGCTAGCAAGTCCTTCAGGAACTGTGTAGTTTCATGCTGTGTAGAGGAGGCAGGAGTGTGAACTAGCAGGAGAAAGGAAATTTCCTTCTCTCTGCCTGCCACAGACACTATCCAGCAGAGGATAGTTCTTGTGCCCTCCAAGAGCAGTGATGCAAGAAGGTAAAAAAATAATTAAGAAAAAAACATGGAAAACGCCCTTTGGTTCATTGGAGAGTGGCTGATAACATCAACCTTTCTGCTCTCAGCTCAGTATCTTGTTAGTGGTCTTCAGTGGTTTTTCGTGAGCGCTCCTGTGTCTTTAAATGATGGGTGTAGGTGCCTGCCAGAAGACCCTATTGTTTTAATTAAA